TCAGAGAACGCTGAGGGCCCTGCAGCGGACAGCAGCCATAAGCCGTCCAGGCGTGGATGACAAGGTGGGCGGCGGAAGGACGAGGCTACGGTGCGGTGGGAGGTGCCATACGCCATCCGGGACTGAATGGCAGGGAGAGCGAATAAGACACGTGGATCGACAAGGAGGCCCAAACCAACCTGGAAGCCCAAAAAGCGTGGGGGCCACAGCCTACGGTGCGCGGGGGCCAAGGCCGGCCAACGCCAGCAGAAGAGCACGAGAAGCGGAGGAGTAAGGAGGCCGCGAAGGCCTGGCAGCAGGCGGCGAGCAGCCGCAAAGGTCGCAGGCAGCATGGCCGCAACAGCTGGCGGGCTGGGCGGCGCACCGGAAACGGCGGCGGCCGAGAGGCAGGCCAAAAATAAAAGAAAATCGCCGTAGACGTAAATTGTTGGCGCTCCGCGCGGATTTCTTTGATCTGCGCTGGAACCCCTCCCTGGCGCTCGGAGCGCGCCAGGGGCCGCGCCAGAGGCACCGCTGGGGAGGCCCGGCGCGGATCCAAGAAATCCGCGCGGAGCGCCAAAAACTCACGTTTATGGCGGTTTTTCTTCCTCGAGGAAGAGCAGTGCCGGGCACCCTCCCGCGGGGAGGGGCCCAACCAGCGGCTGGCGGACAGGCAGGGGGAGGCCAGCCACGGGGGGGCGCAGGGCCTGAGGGCGCACGGCGGCGACGGAGAGCGGGGGGCCACAGAGAGGGCGCACGGGGCGGCGCAGGCCCAGGGGCCTTGGGTCTGGTTCTGCCTGGTCAGGTTGCCGTGATCTGCCTGGTTGGCTGACGCATCCACACACGCACGGGCGGGGGGCCCGAGGGGAAGAGAAGGGGGGGGGGCAGAGCCACCGCTGCCAAGGGTGCGCCGGCGGCGGCCGCCCTCCCCCCTGGAGGGGGCAAAGGGGGGTACGGAAGTGGTAGCTGTGGTTTGGTTGTTGTGGTTTGCTCGGCGGGCTGTTGTGGTTTGCCTGGCTGACTGTCTGCCTGGTCAGTCTGGTCGCAGACGTCGTGCAAGCGATTTGCTGTTTCGTGGGTTCCCTGCCTCGGTGAGCTCGGAGTCGGATGTCGTAGGCCAGGGAGGCAAAGGCGACCAGACGCCTGTAGAGGGTGCGGTGTATTCGAAGTAGCCCTTCTCTTTTGTGGATCATTGCTGCACGATTCGATGCAACACAGTGGCAGCATGGCAGCAAAGATGCACTGCTAAACAACCCGATGCAACACACTGGGAACAACTATGGACTGGCGAACACAAACATTCTCATCATTACCGCCGTGAGATCACAAAACCAACGCTACACGAACTTATCGTTCACCGCCACCTCGACGCACTCGCAGCTCCCGCGGGGGGGAGCCCGCCCACCAAGGACAGGAACTGCGGGAAGGCTCCCAAAGGGAACCGGCTGGCAAGGCCAGCGCGCGGAATCCCCTGGGCGGGGGGCAAGGAACCGAACGACACAGCCTCCCGGCAGGAGAGGGAAGGGGGGGGCGACTGGCATTAGGTCGGGCATGCCCCCCTACAGGCTGATTTTGGATGAACAAGTAGAAACTAGCCAACACAATATCAGACACTAATTAAAAAATAGGCAAACAATCGTTCCCAGACTATCCTTTTACTCCTTTGAAGATTCCTCCTGTAGAGGGACAGGCCCGACTTAAGCCTGGCAGACCAGTGTTAAGTCGGGCCTGTCATCCTACAGGGGGACTTTGCACGAAAAATCAAAAATAGTCCAACAATACACCAGAACGGTAAACTGATCATCAAAAAAAATCGTCAGCTGACTATTTTTGTGACGATTGCTGGATACTCGTCCTGTAGAGGGACAGGCCCGACTTAAGACCAGCGGGGGGGCGTGGGGGCAGGCGGGGAGCGTGCAGCACCGCCCCGGGGCCGCGCCCGGGGCGCCTGGGCTGTCCGTGTGTCGGCCCGTCACGTGGTGCGTGCGCGTGGTGCAGCACTCGGGGATAGAAGAGGGGGGGGGTGAGAATCAGCTCGCGTAGCTGATTTTCCCAGCGCCTCCCGGCGCCCATGTATCGAGGAATGGGCCCGGCGGCGGGGCCGAAACCAGCTGCATGCAGCAGATCTCGTACCCCCCCCCTGTCCCTATCCCCCCCTTTCGTTCGGCCCGAAGCACCCGGGTCTGAGAACACCGTGGCACACGCCGCGGAGCTGGTGCACCACGGCTTTGCTCCCGCTGCGTGTCGGTCCACGGCGCCGGGACTGCCTCGCCCTCGGAAGCGCCTCCTGCCTGGCCGATCCGGCGGCCCATACGTAGCAGCATGGACGCAAGGGTGCCTGGAGCGACAAGGAGGCGAAAGAGAAGGGGGAACGAGGGGGGGGCAGGGGGCCGGGGAGGTCTGGGGTGTCGTACATTCAGTGCCAGAGAACACGTATCATCGGTCTCACACTTCCAAGGCGAACGCTCTTCGGAGACATAGAAGACCCAAACTGGCCACAACACCGTGTGGCTCTTTTCTGCGCTAGTTTGGCCCATGAGGAGGGGATAACAGGAAAGATGGGTACATACTTGAAACTCCCTGTCCGCCAGTGAGAAGGTAACGACCTTTCTTCCTCAGCTGGCCACTCTCCCCGTTCTGGAACACTGCCACACGATCCGATGCACCACAGCGGCAGCAAAGCTGCAACGCACAACCATCCGATGCAGTACACTGGGGCAAAAGGGAGCAGGCGAGGCTGGTATAGTGTTCGCATCCAGTGTGCTGCCGGTGCGACCCCAAGCAAGCCACTGGGGCCCAGCGTAAAAGGCGGCGGGGGCGCGGGGGACGGGGGCTGGGAAGGCCCGAGGACTGGCGCTGAGGAGGCGCGGGAGGAGAATCGGCATGCAGGCGGCTGAAGTTGACGGCGTCGAGATAACTGCCGAAGCTGGGGAGCGGCGGAATGGATGGGCGGCGGGAGTTCGCTGGCGCCGCAGGAGGGCGCCGCACGCTTGCGCACAAAAGCCCAAAACCACCAGTGCGCACTGACGAGGCGGTCGATGCCAGAGTCGTCGTTGAGATGCGCCGAGAACCTGCCAGCCAAAGCACGGTGCGCACGGTCAGCCTCAGGCAGGCCAGCGACGGCTTTGCCGTCCCCAGGGCGAGAATGAAGAGGTGGAGATGGCGGCGGAGGCGAGGAAGAGGAGCCAGCCTCCTCGGCCAACTCGTCGATCGGGCATGGGGGTCCGTTTGGAGTGGTGAGGGGCGCGGCTTGCCATAGGTCGGGCATGTCCCCCTGCAGGTGAATTTTAAACGAACAATGATACATAGCCAAACATTCGCCCAAATTGCCAAAAATACTGGAAAAATCGTCCCCACGACTATTTTCATGACTATTTTGGGATATTCCTCCTGTAGACGGACAGGCCCGACTTCAGGCTTGGCACCAGTGCTCAGCGACTCAGATCCCCCGCATCAAACTGACGCTTCGAGCTTCATCGGAGTCGCCGGCGATCCAGTAGGAGAGCATCCCCGCCAGGGCGCGGCGGCCCCGGGGACGGCCCCCAGCGCGAGCACCCCGCGCACGCAGGGAGGACAGGGAGCCGTGGGCGTCGCTCAGGCTGCCGCACGGCCGTCGTGGGCCCGTCCTGGCCTCCGCACCTGCGCAGTGCATCCGCCAACATTTCCGAAAGCGGACCCAGCGCGGGGGTGAGACCGCCGGCTGCCAGGAGCGGGGCCATTTCTGCGTGCTCCGCGGAGAAGGCGGAGAGGTCATGACTCAGCTTCGAGGGGGCAAGAATCGCACACTCGCACGTAAACGCGCCCGCAAGCACGCACGCACGCACACACGCACACACGCGCACACGTGCACTTGCACGCACGCGCACACGCGCACACCCGTACGCGCACACACGCGCACACGCGCACACGCGCACACACAGGCACACGCGCACACGCGCACACGCGCACACGCGCACACGCGCACACGAGCACACGCACACACGCACACACGCGCACACGCGCACACGCGCACACGCGCACACGCGCGCACGCGCACACGCGCACACGCGCGCACACGCGCACACGCGCACACGCGCACACGCACGCACGCACACACGCACACAACGCACACAACGCACACACACACACACACACACACACACACACACACACACACGCACACACACGAGCCCCCCCCCCACCCACCCACCCACCACACACACACACACACACACGCACACACGCACACACGCACACACGCACGCACGCACGCACGCACGCACGCACGCACGCACGCACGCACACACATAGGGCGACGAAATCTATACATCCACTGCTCCCAGGCAAGGCCCATCCTCAACCCCGCAGCGGTGTATACGCCACGCCCTCCTGGCTTGGCCAGGACGGCGCATACACAGCTCCTGGGTTCAAGATGGGCACGGTCAGGGAGCAGTGGATATGTATAGATTTCGTCGCCCGAACACACACACACAAACACACACACACACACACACGCACACACGCAACACACAACACGCAACACACACACACACACACAACGCGCACACAAACCCCATAACACTCAACACAAAACCCACAACACGCAACACATAACACACATCTAACAACACAACACGCACAACACACAACGCAGAACACACAACGCACAACGCACAACACACAACGCACAACACACAAAACACAACGCACAACACACAACACGCAACGCAAGCACACAACACAAACCACACAATACACAGCACACCACAAACACCACACACCATACAGCACACAACACGCAACGCACAACGCACAACGCACAACAATCAACACGCAGCACACAACACACACACACACACACCACACAACCACAACACGCAGCACACACACACACAGAGAACACACAACATACACAACACACGCAACACACGCAGACCAGCACAGCGGTGGTAACTTCAGTCGCCCTCGTTCAAAGAAGGAGCGTTGACACCGACCTGTCCTTGTGTGCACACAGCCCGAACCTTGTGCCATACCGCACGCGCCTCCTCCACAGGCGAGCTGGGCCCTACGTCGGCCTCCGCGAGCAAGGCCCGGGTCTCCTGGCATGAGGGGCGGAGACGGACCGGCAGCGGGGTCGGCCCTGGTCGCCCTCGCCGCCTCCCCGTCTCCTCGCTGCAGGCACACCTCAAGCTACTTGTTATATTTGCAAGTGCCTCCCTGTAGGTAGACACGTGCGGGGGGGAGGTGCACGCGACCGCTCAGACAAAGCACCCTCTTCTACGTCCTCCACTTTTTCTACGTGATCCTCCTCTTCGTTTTCTGCGCCGCCGTGAATGTCGTCCTTCCGTCCTGCCCCACGCTACTCAGCCGTGCGATCTTCCTTCTCCTCCCCTTATCTTCCTTGACTTTGCTGTGTAATCCTCCTTCTTTCCCCAATTAGGCTTGCCTAAAGGGTTCTTACTTGGTGAAACATTGGTTCCTCCTATGATTATTATGTTGCCCGTCCCTCGGAGGTTCCCCAGGTTCCCCGCCACCGGCGCCTCCTATTGTTACTTTGCCCGTTCCTCGGAGGTTTCCCGGGTTCCCCGCCCCCGGTGCCTCATGCCAAGCAATGCCAAACCATGCCGAGCAATGCGAAGCAATGCCAAGCCCCAAGTTCCCCGGGTTCCCCGCCCTCGGTGCCCCATGTCAAGCAATGTCAAGCAATGCCAAGTGATGCCAAGCAATGCCAAGCAATGCGAAGAACTGCGAAACAAGCAATGCCAAGCACCGCGCCCATGCAATAAGAAACTTTCCCCTAATTGGGGTTGCGACAAGCTGATTTCTGTCCCCCTCCGTTTCCTCCTCCTTCCGCACTCCTGCTCTTTATTTCTTCCCTGTCGGCTTCAAGCGTTTCCGTTTCACCAGGACGCCCTGTGATTCGGCACCGCCTACATCAAGATGATCGGCCCCCAACAAACGGGAAGGGGATCTATAGCCGCCGTTAACTTGGGCGATACGCAATTTTGCGGCAAGCCCGGGGGAAGTGAGAGGGGACAGGCCTTCTAAGAAAGCGGCGGGGCTTATCAGAAGCCCTCGCGCCTTCCGAGACGCCAGCTCTGACTTTGGAGAAGGCTCAGGAAACTTCTCAAAGGCCGGAGGCCTTCCGAGTCTTCTGAGAAGCCCCTCCCCCTCTGACTCGAAAAAAGCCAACAACCCTTTCGAACCCATCATCTCAAACTTCGCCCCCCCTTCCTGCTCGCCAGAACCAATGCTGGGCCACCTCAGACCCCCAGCCGGCTCCGAACCATACTGGAACGGGGAGACTTGGCTCGTCCACCAGCACTCCTGTATTTGCCTACGAACGCTACCCTGCTTGCGACCACCACCGTGCCTATCATGAACACCACGGCGCTCGCGACCTCCACCTCCTCCTCCTCCTGCTGCTCCTTCTCCTGCTCCTACTCCTCCTCCTCCTCCTCCTCCTCCTGCTGCTGCTGCTGCTGCTCCTCCTCCTCCTCCTCCTCCTCCTCCTCCTCCTCCTCCTCCTCCTCCTCATCTCCTCCTCCTCCTGCTCCTGCTCCTCCTTCACCTCCTCCTCCTCCTCCTCCTCCTCCTCCTCCTCCTACTTCACTCCTCCGCACCCCCCCTCCTTAGCCTAATTCCTCCTCCTGCTCCCCGGCTCCCCTCGTCCTTGCAGCCAGCGCTCGCGAGCGCCTCGGGACGCAGAAACCGCAGTGCCTGCGAGCACCGCCTCGCCCACGGCAACCACAACTCGCCTGGGAATCAGACGGATTAGGCGGGACCAAGCCGGATTACTGTTACTTTGGCCGGATGAAGCGGGATAAACCCAGATGAGGTCCTGGGGAATGCCAGCGCCGATTCTGTGTTGAACCTTCCAGGAGTGGCATCCTATTCCGAATTTCGTCATCAAAAAGCGAGGGAGGTCGCAACCCTCCCAGACGAGCAGCCTCAACCCTCCCAGAACTGCTCACATCAGACCCCCCCAAATGAACGGTTTCCCCCAGGGCCGCAGGCGACCCGAGGAGGAGGAGGATGAGGAGGTGGAGGAGGAGGAGGAGGACGTGGAGGAGGAGGAGGGGGAGGAGGGGGAGGAGGGGGAGGAGGAGGAGGAGGAGGAGGAGGAGGGAAGACGAGGAGGAGGAGGAGGAGGAGGAGGAGGAGGAGGAGGAGGAGGAGGGGTCGCCTAAGCCCTTCGGAGAAACCCTCCACCCCCGAATCGGACCGCATGTCCCTTCCACTGAAGTCCGGAAGATACGGTCCGCGTGCTGCCGTGAGGCACGAACCAGACGGAACGGAGCGGTTTTTCTGGCCACGGCGGGCCCAGGCCGCCACGGCGGGCCCCGCGACAGGAGCCTGAGGAACGGCCCGAACATCAGGGGAAGGGCCCTCCATCCCAAGATGTCTCCGGGGGGGGTGCCCGGGATCAACGGCCCGGGATCATCGCCACCCGGATGGGTACTGCGCGGGCGGGGAGTTCGCCGATGGGTACTCCGCGGACAGGAAAGCGGCGCTTTCCTGTCGCTCACCTGCGTGATCCCCGTGCGCAAGTGGCCCCGCCCGAGCCCCAGGTGGCCTTTATTTCAGCGTCTTGACTTGGCGGCGAGCACAGGAGGGTAGGGGGAAGAGGGAAGGCTCCTTAAAGGGGGAAGGCTCCTATACGTGTAGTGAAGTTCCGCGCCCTCTGAGAAGCAAGGGCGCCTCTAAGAAGCCTCCCCCCTCCCCCGTACCCCCTTCTGCGCGTGGCCGATCGGAGATGGACAGAACCCGCTTTAGCAAAACGTAGTTTAGAGAAAACGACCTCGGGCCCAAACCTGGCCGGCGCAGGCGTGAAAAAATGACGGCCGCGGCGCCCTCCCGAGAACCGAAAGCGGACAATTCACTGATCGACGTGTCATGGTGGGGGTTCTGTCCACCCCCGACCCGATTGACTGCGACCTCTCCCCCCCCAGGAGAGCCCCAAATCGGATCGATAAGTCGAATCAGCAATCGAAATTCATCGGATCGGCGGACATCGGCAACCAAGTCGGGAGGAGTCGAACCGGCGGAAATCGGCAGAGAGCGAACGCCTCCTTGAGACCTCGGAATCCACATCGGAATCCGAGGCCGGACCGAAGCGGAATCGGAATCCGTCGACATCGAATCGCCTCGAAACGGAGGAATCGAAACGAGCCCTGCGGTCTCTTTGGACGCCCGAAATGGGTACGGAAAAAAAAGGGGTAGAATGCTCAACAACAACTGTTGTCCCAAACCAGCAGCGGCCGCTGTTGGGCAGGCGGCCGTCCGTCTCAAATAGACACAGGCCGCGGCGGCGCGGACAGCGAGCCCTGCTCAATATGAACAAGAACTGCCGTTGGGCACCGTACCTATTCCTCCCGTACCCAATTCGTTCGAGCTCTGCGGTCTCCGCGCACCACAGCTGCACCGCGGCCGCCTCCCGCAGGCGGCCGCCCGCCGCGCAGGCGCGCCCGAGGTGCGTCACCTCCCGGCCGCCGGCGGGGCCCCGGCAAGACCAGCGGGCCAGCGCCGCCGCCGCCGATCTCCCGATGACGGGGGCGCGCAAAACATGGATTGGCGATGCGTGGATTTGGCGCGCGGTCGCCCAATCCATGGATCGGGGGAGGGCCCTCCCCAAAATGCGGCCAGTGCCGCCTCGCTCGGCGGCGGAAATCCGCGATTCCCCATGGAAGCGGGACCCGTGGCTAATCCACGCCCCCTTAATCCATGTTTGCGATCGCCTGACGATGGTCTTAGGTCGGGCATGTCTCCATGCAGGGGGATCTTGCGCGTTTTTTGTTGTTGTTGTGTTGTTTCTCTCTCCTTTTTGCATATATTGATATATACACACATATAGATGCATAATTCTTAATTCTAAAAAAAAGAAGCTCAAAACAATACCCCCGACTTTTCTTCCATACATATATATACACATATACACATATATATATATGTTTAATAATATATATAGCTTCGCGCCATGCACCTTGGTCCTTGAAGTTTGGTGCGCAGGCGGAATAGCAGGAACATTAAACCGACAATTTAGCGATAACTCCTTGTTGCCTTTTCCGGCTTCGCCGCTATAGAAACATCATTCGTTATCGTTCCTCCATGCTTCTTCTTCCTTATGTTCGCCATACCCTGCGCATTTTTTTTTCCTCCTCAGCTCTTTTTTGCGAAGGCTCCTCCTTGGAAAGCCTCTGGGGGCCTCACAAAAAAAGTTTGAGGCTTTCTTAAGGCCTTCTGGAGGCCTCCTGGGCGTATTCTGGGGGCCTCCGGGGGCTTCCTCGGGCCACCCTGCCTCCCACCGCGGTCTCCCTGAACGACTTGGTCACGATTTGGAATGTTTCGGAGGGTGTCTTTGGGCCATCTTGGGCCGCCATGGGGCTCTCTGAGGGCCATCTTGGACCCGTGTTATGCCATTTTGGGGCTCCCTTGGACTGCCTGGAAGCCCTTTCGGATGGTTGTGGGGCGATTTTGGAGCCTCCCAGGCGGCTTCGGACGCCCAGAAGACCGCCGTCTTGGAGCGTGAGGAAGCCCGAAAAGAGGAGAACCCCCAAATTCACCAAACACCCATAGAAAATCAATGATTCTTGCCACGGGGGGCCTTCTTGGGAGTGCTCTTGGAGGCCTTTGGGGCCGTCCTGGAGGCCTCTTGGGCAATCTTGAGGTCACGTCGGTCACTCTTTGAGCGCTCTTGTGCTGTCTTGAGGGTCTTTGGGACGTCTCCGATGACCCCCCTCCGAGAGGCCCCAAAGAGGCCCCAAGAGAGGCCCCAAGGGAGCCCCAAAATGGCACAACACGGGTCCAAGAGAGCCCCAAAAATCATAGATGTTCTGTTGGTTTTTGGTGAATTTCAGGGTTCTCCTCTTTTCGGCTTCCCGACGCTCCAAGACGGCGGTCTTCTGGGCGTCCGAAGCCGCCTGGGAGGCTCCAAAATCGCCCCACAACCATCCGAAAGGGCTTCCAGGCAGTCCAAGGGAGCCCCAAAATGGCATAACACGGGTCCAAGATGGCCCTCAGAGAGCCCCATGGCGGCCCAAGATGGCCCAAAGACACCCTCCGAAACATTCCAAATCGTGACCCGGTCGTTCAGGGAGACCACGGTGGGAGGCAGGGTGGCCCGAGGAAGCCCCCGGAGGCCCCCAGAATACGCCCAGGAGGCCTCCAGAAGGCCTTAAGAAAGCCTCAAGCATTTATTGTGAGGCCCCCAGAGGCTTTCCAAGGAGGAGCCTCCGCAAAAAAGAGCTGAGGAGGAAGGGGAGAATGCGCAGGGTATTGCGGAAATAAGGAAAATAAGCATGGAGGAAGGATAACGAATAACATTATTATAGCGGCGAAGCCGGAAAGGCAGCAAGGAGTTATCGCTAAATTGTCGGGTTGACCTTCCTGCTATTCCGCCTGCATACCAAACTTCAAGAACCAAGGTGCATGGCGCGAAGCGCCACTGCAGTCTTGTATATGTATATATATAGCAAGATGATATAAACAACTATGTTGGAATATTCCTCCTGTAGAGGGACAGGCCCGACTCACCGATGGTCGGGAATTTCCTGTGCCACGTCGGCCTCGTGGGGCGCGTCTCGCGTTTCTCGCCATTGCTCGGACGTCCGTGTGAACGTTTTCTTAGCCGACGTTTCAACATTGGGCGGAAGAGGGGGGGGAGGGGAGGGGTCTGGCTCCGGACCTCTCCTCAGTGCGACTGTTTGGAAGCGTGAGTCCTATGTGAAAAAAACTCCACCTGCTCGAAACAGGCGCCAAATACACCCAAGATCTACTCCACGCGGGGGAGGGGGCGGGTGCGAGGGCCCGCGCCGATCGGCAAAAGAATAAATAAAACAACGCCCACCATTCCCCCTGCATTTTTCGGCTTCGTGCGTGTTCCTTCTCTCCTCTCTCGGACCATGACCCAGCACGCTCCCCGATGGTCCTTGCCGACAAAAAAAAAGAGACGCACACGTCCAAGCGACGCCCAGGTCTTGCCGGGTAGCTTTGCTGAGTGGATCTCTCGGGCGGTCTCGGCCGCCCCAGGCGGGGCGCGCTCGAGAAGCGGGGGCGCAGCACAGCTAGCGGGGGGAGGCGTGGCCTCGACGGTGCAGCTCTCCGCACCTGCCTCGGCTGCTCTAGCGACCAGGAGCACGGCAGTGAGCCAGGGCAATTAAGCCGGACGTGGTCCCCTACAAAAAGGTTTTCGACGAAGGATAAAAGAATACGGAAAAGTACTCAAAAATGGCCAATCAAATACTCAAAAGGTAGTCCCCCGACTATTTGCTTAAAGCATCTTTGACTATTCCCCCTGTAGAGGGACAGGCCCGACTTAACAGGACAGCGAGGCATTGACAGCGCAGCTCAGCATCAACACAGTGGGGCCCGTCCCTCGGCTCATGTGTGTCCAAGAGTTTTAAGACAACCTCGGGGGCCAAGAATCAGAGGTGTTCGAGCGGCCCATGGTCGCTGGTGTCGCGGCCCTCGACATTACGCTCATCATGGCGGGCAGCAGAATCTGACACGCTTGCTGGGAATCAGAATGCAAAGGGGGAGAATAATACATGTTTCGCCGCCGGGATCGCTGTTCCCCCCCCCCGAGAAAGGACGGGGGGGCTGGGGCTTCTCCCTGTATGATTCCGTGCACTCCTGGGCTAACATTACGCACGAATGACCCTACGTAGGCACGAATGACCTTCGGTGGGCGGCTTGAGGGGGTTGCGGGGGCGGGGGGGGGAAGGGGGCAAACCACAACGCGCAGGCCGCTGCTGACGCACCGCGTCCAGCGATCGTGGGACCCAGATGCACTCCGGCGAAGGGTGACTCTTACGTGTAGTCGAATTTCGGGTCCCAGGGCGGTCGGAAATCGAGACGGGGTGACATGCTTGCCAGGATGAACCCCAGGAGGCGTCCAGGGACAATTGTTGGGTGGATTCCTGCTGTTTTCGGCCCGTTTGGAGCCTCTGAGCTCGGTTTCAGTTGAAACTTTGAAGCTCTGGTCAAAGCGCACCCCTGAGCAGGAGACGTAGACCCCTCCACTGCCAATCCCCGAGGGGAGGGAGGGGAGGAATGGACTAGGAGGGAGGGGAGGGAGGGAGCGGGAAGGGGAGGGGAGCGGAGGGAGTGGGCGGAGGTGGGGACGAGGGGGAGAAGGGATCGAGACTGGACGGAGGGAGGCGAGAAGAACGAGCAGGAGAAGGAGCAAGATCGGGAGGAAGAGGAGGGGAGGCGGGATCAGTCAACATGACTTGGACATCGGATCCAATCGAACTGCAGATTGGATCGGGCTGCATCAGCGCAGGGAATTCGGATCGGATCGGCTGCGCCAAAATGCGTAACAACGCCGTGCAAACATCGGGCCGCAACGAATCATCAGAATACTGCATTCGAATCGGAGCGTGCTGGCCGGAATCGATCGAGACGAGCCCTGGGAGAACGATGACGCGGATGGGGAAGAACATGACGAGGGAGAGAGGACTGGGTGGTGAAGGGATGCTGGGATGCTTTGAGAGCAGGCGGGATGGAGGGAGGAGGCTCACAGAAGTGAGAGAAGAAGAGAACAAGGGGGAGGGAACCATGATGGAGGGAGCAAGGTTAATCGTGGGAGAGGGCCAGGAGGACGGGGGTACGGAAAGGGGTCGGAGGGAGGAGAAGGTCCTTCCAAAGTTCCCCGTCGATGGGTTCTTCGCATGACTGGCGGTGTAAACGTCTCCCCACGCTCCCACGGACACTCGGAGCAAGCAGCGGTGGTCACGAGCCACGCCAGCCTAACTAAAAAAACAACGCCATATAAACATACACTTTTTGCGCTCCGCGCGGATTCTTGGGTCTGCGCCGAACCCCCCCTCCCTGGCGCGCGGAACGCGCCGGGGGCGGCGCAGGAGGTGCCGCTGGGGGGGGGGCCCAGCGCGGATCCAAGCAATCCGCGCGGAACGCCAACAAGTTTATGTTTATGGCGATCTTCTTCTTCGACAAAACGCCCCTCCCAGATCGCCCCAAACGCGCCCTGAGAGCGTCCCCCTACGGCCCAAGGCTGCCCGATGGAGCCCCCGAAGATCCCCAAAACACGCTTGGACAGTCAACAGGAGGCCCAGGCGTACCCGAGGAGGAGCCCGATGGGCAGTTGACGGATCGCGGCTGCCAGCCAGCAGCAGTGGCCCCAAAACGTGTCACAGGCAACCGCTGGCACGGACTCTGTCGACAGGCTGCATCCATCCTCTGCGCCTCCCCTCCTCATACTCCCACTCCTGCCACCTCCTCCTCCTCCTCCTCCTCCTTCTCCTCCGCCTCCTCCTACTCCTCCTCCCCCTCCTCCACTTCCCCCTGCTCCTCCTCCTCCTCCTCCTCCTCCACCTCCTCCTCCTCTTCCTCCTCCTCTTCCCCTCCTCCTACTCCTACTACTCCTTTTCCTTTCCTCCCCCTACTCTTCCTGCTCCTCGTCCTCCTCCTCCTCCTCGTCCTCCTCCTCCTCCTCCTCCTACTCCTACCCTCCTCCTTCTGCACTTCCTCCTCATCCTCCACTTCCTCCTCCACTTCCTGCTCCTCCTCCTCCCCCTCCTCCTTCACTTCCTCTTCCTCCTGCTCCTGCTCCTCCTCCTCCTCCTCCTTTCCCTCCTCCTCTCCTCCTCCTCCCCTCCTCCTCCTCCTCCCCTCCCCTCCCCTCCTCTTCCTCCTCTTCCTGCTCCTCCTCCTCCTCCTCCTCCTCCTCCTCCTCCTCCTCCTCCTCCTCCTCCTCCTCCTCCCTGACTGGCGCTCATCGTCCCCGGCGTCGCCGCGAAAGTCACGCAGGCCACGAAGCGAATGCCGATGTCGCCGTCCCAATCGTTCCGCGCGCCTACCGCGGGTGCGTGTCGTGTCGACGCCGACCCCGGCGTTGGTTCCCGAGACCGCGGGGATCGTTCTACCTGGAACGATCGGCCGTTCCCGAAGCGTCAGCTCCTTCAGCATCGACCGATTCTGGGTCGCCGGCGGCTTTCAACGTTGAACGCGGGCGGCGGGGTCGCCGCCAATCGACCGTACGAGGCGGCCAGGCGGAAGGCGGGCCGAGTGTAACGCAGGAGCAAGAGCCAGAGCAGAAGGCGCATCAGCTGGAGCCAGGGCCGGGCAAGGGGAACGGGGGGGAGGACGACGATGACAACCACGTCGAGAGGGAGCAGGAGGGCCCATGCAAGAAGCCTGCGACACCAAGACTTCTCTCCCGTCTTCGTGAGCCTTGCATTCTTCTCCTTCCTGGTCGTCCCCCCTCCCTCAGTCCTCCTCCTTTTCGTTCTTCGTCCTTCTGCTAAGTCCAACTGTGGCTCTCCTCCCCGCCTCCTCCTGCTAAGTCCAACTGCGGCACTCTGCGGGAGCGGGAGGGTGGCGTTGCTACAGCTGGAGCGAGGATCTCAGGAAAAATACGAAAGAAAAGATGGAGCAACGTCTGGTGCTCCCTACAGAGCGTACGGCGAGAACAGATGAGAAAAGGAGGACGACTGCGGGAGGAGGCAGGGCCTGAGAGGGAAAGGAGACACGAAAGGAGAGGGGGGAAACTTCGGGGGGGTGGGGGGGAGGCATTCTGAGCAACTCAACCTCACAGAGATCGGAGGACTCCAAATTTATAGAAATAACATGTGCGCACGCCTTGGCATGATTGTCTGTGCTTCCCAGAACAATCACATGGCTGCAGTCCGTGGATCCCTGCTCCCCCTCGTCCCCCTCCTGCTACTCCTCCTCTGATCCTCCTGCTCCTCACTCCTTCTGGCATTTCCGCTTTCGTCTGTGCGATGAGAGCCCAGCTTGCGATTCCTCTTTGTCCTCCTACTCTCCCGCCCGTCCTCCTGCGTAGCTCTTCCCGCTCCTCCTCACCCCCTCTCATCCTTCACTTCCTCTTCCGTCTCCCCGTCCCTGTCACTATCCTGGTCCCTGTGAACCTCCCTCGCCCTCCTCCTCTTCCTGCCTCAACCTGCAGATTTCTTGTCGTGACTTATCCTCCTCATCCCACCTCCTGCCTCCCCTCATCATCGTGCCTCCCGTCTCCTCCTGCCGCATCCGCCCGCTGCATCATTGTTCCTCCTCATCCTTGCTCCTCCTTCCTCCTCCTTCCACTCTCCCTTCTACCTCCACCGCACCTTTTCCAGGGCTCTCGAAGAACGGCGTGGCGTCGACGTCGATTACCCCAGGCGGGCTGAACCGCAGAATGGTCACCCGGCTCGCCATGCCAGGACGCGACAGGCGCAACTAGGAGACGATGTGAGGAGGTGAAGAGTCAAGAGCGAGGCGGATAGTCAAACGGTACCAGTACCATGGTATGAGGGAGAAGGAGTGGGAAGGGGAGAAATACATATACCTATATGACCGCCCTGCGGGCGATAAGGAGGTTGGGGGGGATTGAGATCACATGCCCACCCTGACTGACCTCCAGCCTGTCACCTTAATCTCGTCTCTCTCTTTCTCTCTGTCTCTCTTCTCTCTCTCTCTCTCTGAGTCTCTCTCTATCTCGCCCTCTCTCGCCCTCTCTCTCCCTCTCTATCAGAGTCCCCCTCCACCACAATGATGATCGCGATGACAATGAGATCCCACTATCTGCCTATCCGTCGACCGACCTATCGGTGAATCTCACTGTCGATATCGCTATCGACCTCAAAAGCAAAATGAGAAAGCCCGCCGCAAGCGCCGAAAAACGATGTGTCGGACAACCACAGGACAACCATCGGCACAACCACCAGACAACCATCAGGACAATCACAAGACAACCATCGCATACTAGGTAATATCTGTGTCTCTCTCTCTCGCTCCCTCCCTCTCTATCAGTCTCCCCCTCCAACACAATGATGGCAGTGATGATGGGCGATGTGATAAGATGGATTGGATAAGATAAGATGAGTGGGATTGGACAAGATGGGTTGGAGAAGATAAGCTGGATTGGATAAGAAAGCCCGCCGCAGGCGCCGACCAAAAAATGAATTGATGGATTGGGTTGGATGGATTGGATAGGGTGGGATTAGATAAGACAGGACAAGATGGGTTGGATAAAATAATATGGATTGGATTGGACAAGATGGGTTGGATAATATAAGCTGGATTGGAGAAGAAAGCCCGCCGCAGGCGCTGACCAAAAATGAATTGATGGATTGGGTTGAGTGGATTGGATTGAATTGGATAAGATGGAATTGATAAGATAAGATGGGTTGGATTGGAAGAAATGGATTAGATAATGTAAGATGGATTGGATTGGCCCGCCGCAGGCGCAGACACAAATGGATTTATGGATTGGGTTGGGTGGATTTGATTGGGTGGGATAAAATAAGATGGGACAAGATGGGTTGGATAAGATAAGATGTATTGGATTGAACAAGATGGATTGGATAAGATAAGCTGGATTGGATAAGAAAGCCCGCCGCAGGCGCCCCAAAAAACGAATTATGAAATTAGCGACATGCATTAGCGCCGGGACGCCCGGGACACCCGAGACACCAGGGAAACCGCCAGGCCCAACTGGGACACCTCCCGGCCGACGGCGGACGGGAAACGCACTTTCGCTCCTACTGACACCCGGGACACCCAGGACACCGCCTGGCCCAACTGGGACACCTCCCAGCCACCGGCGGACGGGAACGGACTTTCGCTCCTACTTCGGCCAAGCTACAGGAGGATCACGCGCAGCTTCGCCTCGCCCGCACGCACGACACGAACACGAAACCGAAACCGATTTCCCGGTGGGGGGTCTCCGTTTCACTGCGATCTCCCCCCCCAACCTCCGACATACACACACACACATATATATATATATATAGAGAGAGAGAGAGAGTGAGAGAGAGAGAGAGAGAGAGCGAGAGAGAACTATATTTACATATATATATATATATATAAATATAAAACTGCAGTGGCGCTTCGCGCCATGCACCTTGGTCTTTGCAGTTTGGTATGCAGGCGGAATGGCAGGAAAGTCAAGCCGACAATTTAGCGATAACTCCTGGTCACCTTTTCTGGCATCGCCGCTATGATAATGTTATTCGTTATCCTTCCTCCACGCTTTTTTTTCCTTATCTTCAAATGCCCTGCGCATTCTCCCCATCCTCCTCAGCTCTTTTTTGCAGAGGCTCCTCCTTGGAGAGCCTCTAGGGGCCTCACAAAAATTGTTGCAGGCTTTCCTAAGGCCATCTGGAGACCTCCTGGGCGTATTCTGGGGGCCTCCGGGGGCTTCCTCGGGCCACCCTGCCTCCAACCGCGGTCTCCCTGAACGACCGGGTCACGATTTGGAATGCTTCGGAGGGTGTCTTTGGGCCATCTTGGGCCGCCATGGGGCTCTCTGAGGGCCATCTTCGACCCGTGTTGTGCCGTTTTGGGGCTCTCTTGGGCTGCCTGGAAGCCCTTACGGATGGTTGTGGGGCGATTTTGGAGCCTCCCAGGCGGCTTCGGACGCCCAGAACACCGCCGTCTTGGAGCGTCGGGAAGCCGAAAAGAGGAGAACCTTAAAATTACCAACAAAACAACATGTTTTTTTGCCTCGGGGGGCCTTCTTGGGAGTGCTGTTGGAGGCCTCTTTGGGGCCGTCCTGGAGGCCTGTTGGGCCATCTTGAGGTCCCGTCGGTCACTCTTGGAGCGCTCTTGTGCTGTCTTGGGGGTCTCTGGGACGTCTTCGATAACCCCCCTGATTGCTCTAGGTGTGCTGGGAAGGCTCGGCAAAACGCCATGTGAGGCCCGGTGGCCGCTTCGAGGCCCGTCTGGAGGGTCCCAAAGCCCCAGATCCCGGGAGTCCGTTTTTTTTGAGGGGGATGGGTTTTCCCCCCGCCCAGGCTTATATAAATATAGGAAGAGGAATATATATATATATATATATATATATATATATATATATATGTGTATATATATATGTATTTATATATATATACTCTATCTATCTATGGAGAGAGAGAGAGAGAGAGAAAAAAAAAAAGAAAAAAAAAAAGGACAGAGCAAGAGAAAAAGCAATAGACATAATGAGAGGCATCGGTCGGTACGAGATGGAGAGGGACACGCACACACATATAAATACATGCATGCATACATACATACATACATGCATGCATGCATGCATACATGCCTGAGCCTACAAACCAGAGCTGACGAGGCCTCCAAAAGGCAGTGGGGCCTCCAGAGGGCCTCGACCTTCTTCCCCATTTTTCTCATAAGGCCTCTGCACGGTGACACGACATGCTGAGAAGACCGGCCACCGAAACAATGCATCGGCTCCACCCGCAACTCACACAGTAAGACCAGTTCAAAGTTAATGAAAAGGAAAGGACAAAGAGGAGGGGAGGGATGGTAGTCAACTTGAACCAAAAATGGCCTGCGGACGGCCTCGGTTCCGACGGCAATCAACGTTGATTCACACTATAATCTGCCTGAACCTGCAGACCAGAGCTGACGAGGCCTCCAAATGGCAGTGGGGCTCCCAGAGGGCCTCAACCTTCTTTCCCTTTTTCCCAGAAGGCCTCTGCACGGTGACGCGACATTCTGAGAAGACCGGCCGCGGAAACGATGCATCGGCTCCCACTCCCGAATTGGATGCCTGGCAGCCGCCGATGAGTTGACTGACCTCAACACGAGAGAAAAGCGAGGAGCGCTGAACAGCTACTGATAAGCAGCTGGCCAGCAAGGAAGATCGGAGCGCCGACCGCGCCCTGGGCGCGCAAGATGGAGCGGGACCGAGGAGCAGCAGCAGGCGCAGCGAAAGCAGAGGAGAGGAGGAGGCAAGGGAGGGGATCAGGACACGAGCTGCCAAAGGTGGCGCTGCTCACGAAAATCCGCACTCTGAGCGATCCAGTCGGCGACAGCTCGCGCGACAGGCGCAGGGTACGGCACTGACTGACTGGTTTTCCGGCGGCCCTCCAGCACAAGGTGAGGCGCGCCCGTTCGAGAGCAAACACCGTTGGAACCGCTGCTGAGGCGCCGCAGCGGGGCAGGCGGGGGCAAGAGTCCCCAGCCTAGAAAACGGGTTCGCTTACGCCATTTAGTGCCGTGCTGGCAGTAGTTGGTAGTCGAGTTGCGCGCCGACGGGAGAGTGGCCAATGCCATCATTTGCGGCGTGGCCCAAGCAAATGAGGAGGCGGGATTCTCGCACAGGACTGGCACCCGTGATTTGATACACATTATGATGATGTCCACTGTGGCCAGCAGCGTCGAGCTTCCAAGCTGAAGGATGCGATAACTCTGATGCGAGAGGCCAGGCCGGCCCCACAAAAAAAAGGCAGGCACTCTATACTTAGATGGGCGCGGCCTTATAAGCAGTTATAGGTTAGGTAAGTGGTTCTATTTTAGGAGAGGTTTGGATGAGTTAGGATTGGTTGGGAGGCATACAAGTTTTGTAGGAATGCCGATAGTGATCGTGCCCCATAGCTCCCCCTATGTTTCACTATAGGGTCTATAGGAGCTTACAGTGACCTATCATCAGCAACACTTGGAATTCCTACGCTTATATATTTTCATTATGTGTTTAACTTGTTTTGTTATATTTCTCACTATTCTTAATCTGTTTCACTATTTTCACTATTTATCACTATGTTTTCACTATTTTTCACTATTTTTAAAACTGTTTCTTTACTTTTCAAAATTCAGACATTGAAACAAGTCTGACCGACGCCAGAACGTTGTGCCCCAAGGGAGAAGAAGGAGAAGGAGGAGGGAGGAGGAGGTGTTCACCTCCTCCTCCTCCTCCTCCTCCTCGTCCCCCTCCTCCTCCCCCTCCTCCTCCTCCTCCTCCTCTGCCCCCTCCTCCCCTTCCTCCTCGGCGCCCCTCTTGGGGCCTCGGCGCCCCCTTGGCGCTGGCGCTCCTGGGCCTCGGCACCCCCAAATCCGAAGCTCCGAAGCTCCTCCCACTCCTCTTCCTCCTCCTCCTCGTCCTCCCCCTTCTCCTCCTCCTACCCCTCCTCCTCTATCCTCTTTCCCCTCCTCTCCCCCTCCTCCTCCCCCCCTCCTCCTTCTCCTCCTCCTACCTCTCCTCCTCTATCATCTTCCCCCTCCTCCTCCCCCCCCCTCCTCCCCCCCCATCCCCCCCTCGTCTCCCCTCTCCCCCTCTCCCTCTTCCCCCCCCCTCCTCCTCTATCCACTTGCCGCTCCTCCTCCCCCCCTCCTCCTCCTCCCCCTTCCGCCCCCCCCCCCCCCCCCTCCACCCCCCCCCCCCTCCCCCCCCGCCCCCCTCCTCCCCTTCCCATTGGCAGCAGGCTGGAAGTTAGCTG